CAGAAAATCCATCCCTGTTACAACAGACCAATTCCCAAAATCTCACCAAGCAAACGGTTAACCGCTCTGATACCAATTGTTAGGTATATTTTTCGGTCGGTCTCACAAAGAGTGTTATAACACTAGTTGTAACACTGATGACATATATGTGCAAATGGATATATTTTTTCTCTGAAATTAAACCAGCAAAACAACAACGCAGGAAAATAATGCAGAAACATAAAGGGCACCAGAAAATGTATCGCAGTTCGGTGTGCACACCTACTCTGCGGGGCCACGCCCAGACAGTGAACAATCTATTAAGATCAAAGGATTACAAACACCAATCGGACTTATACACCCAAAGACTCCCTCCTTGACGTTGTCGCCACCATGTCGAATCTCCTTAATGGCCTTGTCCAGCAAGCACCACTCGTCTTCAAAATTGCACGACAAAATCCCTTCGACTGGCAGTGCGCTTTCTCCCGAAAGCTTCTAATCCTTCTCCCGAAGGATGATCCTCAATCAACACATAAAGGCTCACTCTCACATAGACTTTTTCTAAATATTTCTTCTATAAAAACTATGCCCTAAATGTATCCTTTGATTACCCAATATATATATATATATATTTAAAGGCACCACAACTCACGTACACAACTTATGTATATATAGCAAAGTTGCTCATGTGCCTACCCTTGTGAAGTATGTGAAGATCACATCAATATGAATTTATGTTTAAATCATATATCTCCACAAGATTAGCTTCACGCAATCAGCTTATCACGCCAACACAAATCTCTAGCTCTCATGCAAGGTAAGTTTCCAATAAACAATTCTCACATAAAGACCAACGTCTCTCCTATTTTCAGCCATTTTCCCTCTGTCTTTCAGAAACAAAAACCACCCAGCGTACAACCCTTTTTCCACACATACAACCATGCTCTAGCCTGCAGATTAGAAGCAATCAATTCCCCCCAAAAGTCCACTCTTCATTTTTAGCAATCAAATCTTTTGATTTGCAGCCCATAAACATGACAACAAGACTTTCCTTAAGAGGTCTACCAATTTACAATGCCAGTCAATCTTACAACCAATTTGTTATAAGTCAACACAAAATGCACTAACAACTTACATATTAAATAATACAATTATTATTTTTTTCTTTCTATATATATACACACAGGAGGATTGATATATGAATATATATGTATTAATACTGATATATTCCTAATTAAATATTAATACGTACATACATATACATATAGCATCTGTGCATGTACATGTATATTTTTATTTTTCCTCATTTGGCCAGCAATCTTTTTTTATCAATAAGATGCGAGGTAAAGCACGTGGCCCGTGGGCGGCTTTTCTAAAGGTTCTTGTAGCTTCATGATGCTGGAATGAAATATCAATCAACGGTATTTGTATATAATTGTTAGAGAACCGAACGATAAATATTAATGCCTTAATGGAGGCTTTGGAGCTTGGTAGGAAGGCAGACACAAAAGTATATACCTTATTTTAAAATACCTCATAATTTTATAAAATGACTGGTTGGTTCCTCCATTTATATCATCATAACTTTGTCTATTATTTCTCTTTCATCCCAAATTACTAACTTCCAAAATCATTGTTGGATCTGCATCATATTAAATATAATATTTGTATACTTATGGCATGTCCTGATCAACCTTGTAATTATATTGACAGGTATCTTTAAGTGGTCACCTATTTGATCAGTTTCTGATAAATGAGGCCTTAGATACTCGTTACTAATTATACATTTTGTTATTAAAAATTTAGTCTTTAAAATATTTTTTGCTACCGAATATTTGGTCATTAAATCTCATATATTTTGCTACTAAATACAATTTGATATTAAATATTTAGTCTCTAAATTTTATGACTTTTGCTATTAAACACCTTTTGTTATTAAATATTTAGTGACTGAATCGCGTATTTTTGACGTTTAGAGAGAGGGTAACCGTTTAAAAAGGTTAGAAATAAACACCTATCATCCTCAGCAGCACCATTGGCGTTTGGTTCTCATTCCTTGGCATTAGGGTTGAGTTTTTTGTTTCCTTGTTCCACAACAGCCGAATCCACCGAACCCATTTTCTCACTAAACGGCACCCATTTCTCATCTTGAACAAGCTCCCCTCCATCTAAATCCGTTTATAATATTAACGGATTTACCTACGTGAGACTCATTTTAAAAATATAAAACTAAATTAAGCTAACAAAAAATGTTAATTATTTAAAAATATAAAACAAACTCAAAGTCTAATTATTCAACTATTAAAAAAATGGAAGGGACCATTTAACAATGAAAAAAAAAACCCCCAGAAATCACTTAACAACATAAAACAACGAACAAGATAAAGCACAATGGTATACAACAAAAAAAACGGAAGGGACCATTTTTGTTTGATTCTCTTTATTGAATATTGCAGATGATACAAGTCTACAAGACACCACGATCAGCCATGATTTGTTTACATTCATCAAGATCTGCTCCGACTCAGCCGGATCTGCGGTAAAGAACGACAAGGATCGTCTCACTCGAAGCTTCTTCTCGGATCTAGCTGCACGAGACCACATCAAACTATAGATCGGGAAACGATCTACTCAAATTTGACGAGGAAAAGCAGGAAAAATCATCCATGGCGGAGAGATTTGAGAAAGATGGGATTACCAAGAACGACACTTTTTGGCGAGTGAAAGTATGGAAGGGGGCGGCAAGATTGGGCAGCAGGTTTGGGTTCGTGTGGGTGGCAGCGTGATCGTGAAATGGGTTTCTGAGAGCGAACAATGATCGGTGGATTGCTAGACTCGACACGGCGGTACAATGATTGGTTTCTGAGAGCGAAAAATTTTTGGGTATGCAAGTAAGAGTTTAGGTTGAGGTGTTTGTCTATGAAAGACTTTTGGCTCAGTAAGAGGTGAAGAAGACAGGGTGAAAGATGGGTTAGGATGAGGTGTTTGGCTATGAAAAAGTTTTGGGTCTGCAAGGATGAAGATGAGGGGGCGAATTCTTTTCTGGGTTTATTATTTTTAATTTTGAAATAAATTTTGTTCTAATATTTAATCATTTTATATACTTAATTAGAATTTAGTAACTTTAATTACTTCTAAATACATGCCACACATCAACATATCTGTTGAAACTATAGACAGATTTAGATGAAATAAGCGTTTTGAACTGTTTTTTATATATAGAGTGTTTTGAATCGGTTTATAAAATCATAGAGTATTTAAAAATAAGATAAATACTTGATATTTATAAAAATAATCTTATATTTTACTACGATCATTTAAATAAGATTTTTTTTTATCAGAACAATAGTTTAAACAAGGACTAGTACTGTATAGTCATATATAGATTATTGTCGACGTGTTTTTTCTGAAACAGTGAAAGTTCACGACCACTGGAGTCTTCTAGGAAACTTTTCTTTCTTTTTAATTTCTTTCTTTTTTTAAAAAAAAATTTTTTCTCTCCCTAATACTAGTATGCATGTGTCGCAAGAACTGTATGCAACTTGTAGGAAGGTTTATTTCTTGCTGTCGGGGTTCTTTTTCTCTTTATTAATTGTAACAGTACTCCTAACAGATAATATATAACGTACCTCTATTGTTTAAGTAACTCAGATAAAAAAGATCTAAGCGTCGCGGTTTGGTTTATAGTTATAAATTAAAAAATTTGAAAAGACATCTAAATTTTGATGAGAAAAATATTATAGACAGCTTACGAAACAAACAAAAAAAACCCCTAAAGTTTCCTTCCCTTGGTGAATGCAACTAATTCATCGTCTGTCAACGCAAGAACACATTTTTATACTATTTTTTTTTTTTTTTGGTGTTATATTCCCGCCCACCTCTAAATAACCTTCCTTTTTTTTTTCTTTCTCCCGTATAAACCTCTAAATAACTAGCTAGTTAGCTAGTTTTTGTTTTGTTTTCTCTTCTTCTCTGTTCCTTTTTAATTGGTCCCTAATGGTCCATGGAAACGACAAATATTATCATGTCCTCTGTGTTTTACCAATTAACATAGAGTTTACCAAATTATTAATGACCTGTATAGCAATGCCCTGAAAAAGCGAAACAACATTTGGGGTCTTTAATTAATAGAAAGTTGAAAAGTTAAGTAATAGTGCCTTGCACTTGGACAGCTTACAGCCTACCCCTTTAGATCGTGTTTTTTACAAAGATCTTTAAAAGTGTACCAAGCAGCACGCTGTATTCCCTTGATTGGCCAGCTTTGATATTATGGATATTTTAAATAGTTGGCAAAATTGACTTCAATAAACTGAGCGAACCGTCAAGATATTTCTTATCTCAAACATTATGGACTGAATAGGAGAGTGGAAAATGACTTGTTCTTGTCCTCTACGTAATTAATTGTACGTTTGTTTGATGTTTCTTTTTTTCTTTTTTTTCTTTTTTTTCCTTCCTTATCCTTTGCTACGATGTTAATGTAAATGTAGATAACAAGAGAAGACGCTCCTTTATTTTTCTCCCTTGTTTACAGGAATTAAATTGTCTTCTCTCTAATACTACTAAATTTCTATGTTAATGCTAAAATTTCACGTTCGTGTTAACAAAATACTCTTCAGTATTGTAATGTTATTTTTAATATGAATTAAACATAAATTACACTTGGTGCGAAATTTAACATCAAATTTAGCATATGTATACCCATTTTGATGACTTTAAAGGAAGAAATAAAGACCATCGACGTGCACTACCTCAGGATTTACTGTTTAAATAAAATCGATAAGGAAACTAGAAATAACTGTAAAGATAAAACAATATGGTTAAATAGAATCGACAAAAAATAAAATAAACGACATGGACTTTTCTTTATCATTTGTATTTTGCTTTTGTATTTTTATCCTTTTTTTTCATATGAAAGTACGTAACGTACTTACGGGTCCAAAATTATACAACTAAACTACTAGAAGCTCATTTCATCGTGACGCTGAATTTCTTTGGCATGCTTCGAAGAACAGGATTGGATAGTCGGAGGGAAGTTCACTCATTATTTGTTATTTATAATCGCAGAGTGCATATCACATATTATGCATATTACACAAACTCTTTATAATATATATATATATATATATATGAAAAACCAAACTGTCACCAAAGCAGTGACAATTAACATACGACATACAAACATCACAAATTATCAAAAGAGCCAGCTTTGACGAACAAACTCATTAAAATATCTACATGGAGTCCACCAGGAGTCCAGACCCAAAAGGCCTCTGGTTGTAGCAGTCGAGGTTATTCCCATAACCAACCTTAAATATATCACAGTACCTCTTGTAGAACCCAATCCGGTCCTCCACGGCGGCGTTCCAGCCTTTGCCACATTCAAGCCCTCCGTTTATGATGTTTGTGATCGCGCCGTAGCCCGCAGCTCGACCAGCCGACGTGTCGGCTCCAGAGGGATTCCATTTGCCGGTGATGACGTCGTGGCACGACGGCTTTGGCGACTGCGGGGTCATCCAGAACCAGAGTGCTGTCTTGAAGGCAACCACAGGGTCCGTAGCTACGAGGTCCGGATTGTTCAACAGGTCCAGCCCTAGAGCTCTTCCACACTGCCCGTAATTATAGTTCCTAAAGAAATTGTCGTAATTCTGCTTAGTGTAGTGGAGAAACTTTCCCCGAAAATTCAAATTATTAAGCAGCAAATTAAGCAATTTTGATTAGTGTTTAAGACAAAAAGAAGGGACAATAAAAGCTATAATCACTGATAAATTTTCGAAATATTGATCATCATTGACTTGTATATATGTTTGTTTTCATAATTACTTGCTTAAAATAATCACTTAGATATTTCTAGTACATGACATTTTCATTTATTAGAAGGGTAATTTGTGATGATATCTAGAAATTAAAAAAAAATAAATCCTGGCTTAACATTTAACAATATGGGTGGGCCCAGATGTAGGCATTAAAGGGGCCCACCCTATAGTGTCATAGTTACTATTATTTACCATGTAAGTTGGATGGGACCACGGCCGTAATATTGCTTTCCAGAAGCGCAAGGGTAAGTTGGACTGGAAGAACAGTACGTCGCTTGGTTTTTCTCCTTGATAAAGCAGTATCCCCACGCGTATTTACCATCAGGAGCACTGTCCCATCCACCTACATATATATTTATTAAGAAGGTAAATAGCGTTTTTTTTTTTTTAAATAAATAACGTGAGAAGATAACTCATATTAAAATTACTCAAAACATCTCAATTAAATTAGCACCTTTTAAATAACTTAAAGATACGTTTAATTTACTAATTTAAATTTTTAATTTAAATTAAAATATAATTTTATATAAAAATTTTTACTCTTTATTAAACCGAAGCTCAAAGAAGGTAAATAGCTTACATAATAAAAATCTCAAAAAAAAAAAAAAAAAGGTTACACATAACATAAAAAAGAGGCAAGAAGAGAACACAAACCGGTAGTTTCATGGGAAGTTTGGCCAAGAAAAGCAGCAATCTCCCTTTTGCGTGTGGCATCGTCGCCGGTAGTGCCAAATCCAGGGAAGGCCTTTGTAGCTGCAATGAAAGCATCATAGGTATAAAAGTTCCTGGCGGGGCAAGCACCGTCATTACGATGTTTAAGCAGCTGGTCAAAGGTGGATCTTGAAATGATACTACCAAGGTCTCCACCGCCACCGCCGCCGCCGCCTCCACCTCCGCCTCCGCTGCATTGGCTTTGACAACCGTTGGTGCAGTGGTCAGGTGTGTCGCCACACCACCCCCATTTGCTGCAGCATAATCCTCCTGGGCATAGAGCACCCCCAGCTTGCTGACCACATTGCTCCGCTAAGCCTCTTTGTATAGTTAACAGAAATAGGGAAAAAATGGATAAGACCCAAAAGTACTTCATATTTAATTTTTGATGTGTTGTGGTTATTTTGTTGATGTTTGAGAATGCACAACTGGGGGATATATAGAGGGCAACGGAAAGTGTCCTTCATAATTTTAATAATTTATTGATTAATTATTAATGCTACTTTACGGGACTAATGCTGGTTTAATTTTTCCACCTTTTTTTTTTGGGGTCATGGTGCATGGTATAGTTCTAGAGCTTGCAGTGAAAAGCTATATATATTCTTACAAGAGTGAAAAAAAAAGAGAGCTATATCTATACGATATAATAATTATCGCCGCGCATGTCTTTACACGACACCCACCCATGAATTTATTTATTTACACTCAAATTTAAAAAATATTTAAATTTAAATTACAATTTTATTTAAGTTTATTTTTGTAAAAAAGAATTTGAGTTTAAATTTGAGTTTAGACTTAAAATTTGAGTTTAAGTTTTTTCTTTAACTTAAATTTTTAAATTCAAACTCAAATTAATGAATAATATTTTTTATATTCTTAAAAACGTCATAATTTTTTTATTTTAATTTCGATTGAGATGATTTATTTTATGCATTCAAAACAAAAAAATGAATAAAATCTTAATCATATATCCTATTAAAATTTTTCATCATCATTAAATTTTTATTAAAATATTATCTAAATACAAACTCAAATTTTAACCTACTTAAATATAAACTCAAAAAGATTTTAATATTAAACCATAACTTATATGTACATAACTAAATACGAATTCAAATTATAATTTTAATTTAAATTATAACTCAAATTTAATTTAAAATACACGTTTAAATCACTATAACTTAAAAATATAACTGAACAAAGCCTAGTATTGAGAAACATATTGGTGACCACTCGACATATATTCTTTTAAATTTTCCTTTAATCATTAAAAAGGAAAAAAGGAAAAAAAGGAAACTTCGCTGTATGTTCAAGCTTCAAATTAATTAATAAGATAAGGTGGCGGCTTCTTGAGAAGTATTTAATTAATGACGTGTTCGTTGTCGTGACGTTTCAATAGAAAAGTCATAGCTCGTCTGCCACAAATGAAAAATTAATCTTTAGTTTTATCTTTTATTTTATTTTTTCAGGAAGTCTTTATGATAGAATGAGATTTTAAATTTGGATCTACTACGAAGAGGCAACCCGCCTGCAGAATAAGTAATTGAGTTTTTAACACGAGAATTCATATTATAATTTGAATTATAATTCATAATTTATTATAATATTTTTTAAAATATATATATGTATATATAAATTAAGAATAATTTTAAATGTGAATCAAACGTCTATTAAATCTTATTGGACGTGACCAGCAAAAAAAGTCCTATTGGACGGAGGGGGTACCGAAAGGGGCTTTCTAATTAGCATGCATCCGGCTGCTGCTTGTTTACATGTTATAAATTTACTTATATACTTTTACTTATATATTAAATGCGAATCATTTTGTTAGCTGCCCCTATAAGAAACGTTTATTATAAGTTTTTTTTTTTTTTCTTTTTTGGGCTTTGACTTTTTCTTCCTCTCCTTGATTTTTTCTTCCAACATTTTTTTTAGAATGAGCTTTTAAGTAGAGTTCCATATGTTACTTTTTTTTTTTTTAGAACGAGCTTTTAAGTAGAGTTCCACTAGTTTTGTACCCTCGCGTTGCGTTGGATAATAACTTTGTATGTATAAAAGATCTCTAGTTGTGATAGTCGGATAATAATTTTACATTATATAAAAGATCTGTGTTTGTTATAGTACAGTTACACATTACTATATGAATTTGTTTGTACATTTACATATTTTTGTATCATACAATAAATATGTGATTGTGATAGTATAGTACTATACGACGTATTTGAGCTGCCATGTCTATTTTTTGTTGTGGTCTTTTTTTTTTCAGCTGTAAAATGGAAATTTTGAAGAAGTATTAGTAATTGAGGAAATTGTAAATGTCTTAATTTAAAAGTAGTTATGTTACCTAGTCCTTTGACATTTTTTTGCCTGCTCTGCTTCTTTTGACCGAGAACTGAAAATGAGAAAAGATTATTGAAATATATGTTTAAAAGGTATGGATTCGGTGTTTGTGGGTCGATTGGTGTTGGAGCTGATGTTGTTATTTTTGAGGGAGGGCTGAAATACCTAAGTAGTGATCATGTTCTTTTTGGATCAAAATAATAAAATAATCAGAGAAGCTGAAGCTGACAACAGAGAGAAAAAATGAAACATAAAGAAGAAAAACACATTAGGAGATCGTAAGGCAAGACAAAGATCGAAGAGCTTTTATAAAACAAAGGGAGAAGAAACATGGGAAGATGGCACGGGAAAAAGTAAGATTTTGAATCAAAATTTTAAAACACAAATACCAATAGATTAAAATGATGTTGACAAAAAATAGTAGAGACCAAAAGAGTGACAGTCATGTTACTTGTTTATTGAAAATGAGGTAAATTAGATTATAAGAAAAGCAATATGGGAAAATCCAATAAAGAAGAATAGATGAAATTGGAGTTTAATTGGAATAGACATTGAAAATACGATGTATTTGGATTAAAGGAGACAAAAAAAGCATTTAAATTGTTTTGGTTAAAGGAATAAGCAAAATCAAAACCCAAATAAAAAGAGCTTATTCACAGCAATTTTTGGACAGATTCATCAAAATTAAGGAGGCCAAAGTTATTTTTGATCGTCATTGCCACACACAAAAGGAAGAAAAAAAGGGGAGAAGAACATTTAGGCTGTTCTGGTTAAAGAAGATAGAGAAAACCAAAATCCAAATAGGGAAGGGTTATTGACGGTAATTTTTACATAGATTACATGGAATTAAAAAGACCAAAACTGATTATAATGATTATTGCCACTTACCAAAGCTAAATAAAGATAGAATATGCTAGGCAAAAATAACTGCATTCATATATATGTAACTATAAAACAGATGAGAACAGATTCAATATATCATTACTATATGCTAAGGAAACATAGGAGAACGCAATCATAACAACAAAAACAGGTTTTTTTCAGCATCATAAGAAACAATAAAAACTAATAGCAGCACAAGAAACTAATATATCCAATAACAGCAAATATTAAGGAAATATAAGGAAGAATCGTGAACAGTACCCACAACGGTGTCAAAACTGCCTTAAACAGAGAATATTAGCTACCCAAATCCACGCAGAAGAGACAAAATTTAAAAGACTGAACAATAAGTAGGCGAAGATAAAATAGCATAGCCAAAATCCGAAAAAAGTTAGGTCAAGTAAAAAAAAAAAAGGAAAAAAGAGACAATTATAATAAAAACTACGAACAAAATCAGAATCCAAAGACAGAATTCACATGACTAAGAAGTACATTTATACCAATTTCTAAATATGTCAAATAGCAGTAAACAGATATAAAACAATTGTAATAAGCATTGCCATACAGTAAAATCAATTAAACATAAGAAATATGTTATGTAAAAATAAACCACTATACATACTATTGTGAAATAAATTAAGAACACGAAAGAAGACAACTATAGATCATTAAGATTTATTGACAATGAATAGGAATTAACTTTTCTAAGCACTATAGGAAATGACACATAGCAGTAACAATAGAACAAACCAGCACACTCAACATTAACAAAGAACAATTAAAACATCCAGACAGAAATCATTAATAGTACCTGAGATATTGTGAGCACTCCCCTAAGTAACCAATGCCAGCCAACCAAAGAGGAAGGAAAAAGACAGAACTAAGACAATGGAGCAGTAAATAGGGCAAGGTAAAGAAAGGTAGTAAGTGATCAACACTGAGGTAGAAAGGGAACGATGTCAGGTGTAAGAGAAGAAAGGATAGACAATATAAACAATAAATTAACCTACGACAATAGTATTTTACACACATATAAAGACTAAGATAACCAATGAGAACATCACATATAATACAATTAAGTCGGTGGACAAATACTGAGGAAGGAAAAAAAAGAGAAAAAATAATGCAAGTAATAAAAGTATGAGAAAAAAAATTAAGGAAAAAATCAAAGCATAATCAACCGAGAGAAACTTCGACACTTTGCTGCATATTCCGGACAGTAAAAGAGAAAAAAAATCCCTAGCTCATTTAATGCCTCTACAACGAAAAAGCCACAAATCATCAAGACAAAAGTACAAAGCAAGATCATAGATATCACAAATTAGCACTACATATTAGATAACCATTAAATGCAGAAAAAAAAAATTAATTTAGGAACAATTCCGATACAAAATCGGCAAGTAAAGATTTGTGCCGAAAAGGAGAAACGCAGCATTTACCTACAAAAATCAGCCGCGTGGAACATCTAAGCATACATGTCTAAATCTCTCTGCGGATAAATAAATAAGGTGCTGCAAGGAAGAGAACAATGGAGAAGAAGTCCACAATCATTAATGAAGGGAGAAAATTTCCAAAATAAAAAAAATAATAAATTTTAAGCAAATAAAGAAATTTCCAGAATATTGACGCCGGTAAGAAGGGAGAAAAAACCCATGCAAATTCTCAAATTAAAAGAGTAGATCAGAAACAGCAGAGGTTCGGCAAAAAGAAGGGGAAAAAAGGCGCATAACACAAAATATGCATTCCAGAACATTCATTCTGGTAAGAACACAGAGAAAACCCATGCAAATTCCATATCAAAATAGCAGAAGAAAAGCAACAAAGAATGTCTGAAGAGAAGAGGGGACAGAAGAAAGGAATGAGGGTTGAGAAATCGCTGGAAACCCACAATAACCCATAGCAAAATTCCTAATGACAACAACACAAAATGATCAGCAAAGAATCAAAGGAACGAAGAAACAAAAAATGGCTGAAGAGAAGAGTGAAAAGAAGAAAGGAAACGGAAAAAAAAATCACCGAAAACCCACAATAATCCGTAGCAAAATTCCTAATGACAACAACACAATGATAAGCAAATAATCAAAGGAACAAAGAAACAAAAAATTAAGAACATATAGACAAATAATATTAAGCATACCTGAAATACAGAAAACTAAAAAAAAAAATTAAAGCACACCACTAATAGTTTTATTAAAAAAA